GGCGTTTGTGTTTCCGCTTAAATAGAAGAGTCAGCTACATAGTACATACGTAAGTGTGTACATACATACACACTTGATACAAGGGTACATATGTTGACATTAGGAATGTTCTTTTTCAGGTCGCGAAAAGCTNAGCGCATGAAGAATGCACTGGAAACGGAAATGAACTCTCACTCATAGAGAGGTGGAGAGTATGTAGGCGTTTGTGTTTCCGCTTAAATAGAAGAGTCAGCTACATAGTACATACGTAAGTGTGTACATACATACACACTTGATACAAGGGTACATATGTTGACATTAGGAATGTTCTTTTTCAGGTCGCGAAAAGCTCGGGATTCTTGGCAAATAATCCCGGGATTTTCGGGATTTATAATTTGCACTGATGGCAATAATAGAAACTCCTTTTCTTGGCCAATATTGGGTATATTTCTTTATATTTTAATAATTAATGTTTTTTTTTATAAATGTCCATGGGCCAAATATAGTAAAATGGCGTTATTAGTTTTTCACTCTGACGTCAGTAAATGTGCTTAGAGTAGAAGTACGGGTATCAAATTAAAGAGGAAATCCTGTAGAATTTTAACGGATTTAAGTTTTTGGTGCATAGAGAATGGTAAGTATTGAAAACGTCCTTTCAAAATTGTATCCTTAAAATTTCACAATATTTGTTTTTGAAAAAATTATATATTAAGGACTTATATAATCTCGATAACATCCTCGAATTTCCTTCTAAATTTATCAGCTTAAAAAATTACCTATTCGTCCTAGTGTATCCAACAATTTTTTTTTTGTAATTCTAATGAAATTTCCTCTTGCATTTGGTACCCATATTTTTATTCTACATTGCATTGCATTTCTTAAGTAATTTTTGGAACGAATCATATAATTGAAATTACAAAGTCCTTTAAAATAAAAACGTCACTTTAAATAACAAAACAGGTCTCAAAGCAAATTATTTCTGATTTATTTTATGGTAGGAGAGCTTCTCAAACTATATAGAAGCAATTTTTTCGATTTAAGTTGTTGAAAAGTAATGAATATCTAAATCCCGGGACTAATCCCGAGATCCCTATATTTTCGGGATGTAGTTATCACAAAAGAAATATACCCAATATTGGTCATTGGTATTACTGCCTTCAGTGCAAATTATAAATCCCGAAAATCTCGGGATTATTTGCCAAGAATCCCGAGATTTTCGCGGCCTTAAAAATAACATACCTGTCGTCAACATATGTACCTTTTAGAGCTGTCAAACTATCAATAGTCGAGTCCATCGATGTTTTACGATAGTCTAAAGGGTGACTATCGATAGTATCGACCCATTTCATGTGTTTTTCTAAATCCATTTATTTTTCGTTATCTTGCTTTTATAAATTTTTTTTATTTTAGCGGCTCACGGTTTGCATTTTAGTATCGAGAAATATTGCTAGAAATTCATTCGCAGTGTAAACAGTCAAAACGCGACTTCAGAAATTTTCCCTGCGATTCGCCTTTCGGAAATAAACAAATTTCTTTCGAAAGACACCAGACCATCGATACTATCGATAGTATCGTCGATAGGTTGACAGCTCTAGTACCTTTGTATCAAGTGTGTATGTATGTACACACTTCTGTATGTACTATGTAGCTGACTCTTCTATTTAAGCGGAAACACAAACGCCTACATACTCTCCACCTCTCTATGAGTGAGAGTTCGTTTCCGTTTCCAGTGCATTCTTCATGCGCTCTTGAAATGCTTCCTTTGCTGCGCAATCGGTAAGCGCAAAATCAATTTCCAAATTTGCAAATTGAGAGTTTTCCAGTGTCTTACCTTCATTCAAACTCTTTTCAAAGTGAGGACCTGGAAAAATAAATACATATTTGGAAATTGCAAATTAGCTGTGATGGATTGAGAGTGTAGGCCAATTTTCAATATTCAGTAGCCTTTTGCCGCGGATATATTTGATTTCGTACGGTGCGCGAGTTCAATCCGATAAGCAGGAAAATATTGAGCAAAAGTGTTAAAATAATTTATTTAATTTGTATTTAAATGTGCAATAGCATTAAAAGTGCAAGTAGTAATAAAAAATATAAATAGTGCGATTTTATTTCATTGCTGCTAAGAAATTCTGTGAAAAAGTGAAATTCGTGTGTTCGCCATGAAGAAATGGGAAGCCATCTTGTGGTCGTGTCGCGTGGGTTTGGAATCGTGCATAGCTATGTGTATATATATGTACACGTGTAAGTATGTAAATGTTTGCGCATACATAAGAGCATGCGTTTATATGTATGTACATATTTATGTAGTCATATTCATACATATCCATACTACCCAACGCAAAAGCCAGCACATAATATTGATAATTTGATTCTCGGTTGGAGAATTTCATATAATTCTAACATCTAGTCATTCAGCTAGTGGAATAATATGAGTAAGTTGTTAAATACCAGAAATCTAGCAATTAATAAAAAAAATGCTGGTACGAGTGAATTTGGTAAGTAAGAACTTACTTTTACATAACGCACATATGTTTTTGTAAAGAACCCTAGCTAAGCATCTGGTAAAAGATATTTGTCAACTGTTCATTTTTTTAAGCGACTTCCAAAAAAGGAGGAGGTTATCAGTTGGTCGGATTATTTTTTGTTTTGTTTTTTTTTTTTGTGTGTATGTTACCGCATAACTTTGACCACATCCACCGATTTCGATAATTCTTTTTGCATCGGGTGATCATGAGATATATACATATATTTTTTTTTATATGAGAATTGAAGTCGGTTTTTTTTTGATAAATATTACTTGTTTCAATTGAATATCGTCGTTTAAAGTACAAAACCGCGTATCAACAAAATGCAAAAGCGCGTATGTGAAGTTGCGTAAATTATTTTCTAGAGAGAAAAATCACTCATATTTAAAAATAGTTCTATTTTTTCTAAATCAAGCGCATTTTTGGCTAGTATATTTCAGGACGAATGGATAAGGATTGAGCCAAGAGCTTGTGTGAGCAAATCCAATTTTTGGCAGCCAATGTCAGTTACGCGGTTTTGCAGACTGACGATACGCGGTTTTGTACTTTAAACGACGATATGATAGACTAGGTTTGGTCAAAGGAACCTTTCATCGATTTTTTTTTTGTGGACCCGTGTAATTGATAACACATTTACATTTTCTCTGTCACGTAAAATCGGAGATGTTTTTTGACGTGACCTGATGGAGCAAAATGGACGTCAGATTCGTCCATCCAGAATTCCATCCCTGGTCTTAACCTAGTCGTATGAGAGTTCGCAGAATTACCATCGCAAACGTAGCTGCGCAATTGAACCGGGTGCCTATCTACATATACATTAGGGATGTTAATTTTTTCGATTTGTACGATCCCGGGATCAGTCCCGGGATTTAGATATTTATTATTTTTCAACGCTTAGCATGAAAAAATTGCATCAATGTGGTTTGAGAAGCTCTCGTACCATATAATAAATAATAAGTAAATGGGTTTGGAACATATTTTTTTATTTAAAGTGAAAATTATTTCATAAGTAACAAAACGAGAGACAATAAACGAGAAAGTAATTAAAGTTATATGCATTTAATAATGCATTAGTGTGTACATATCTGATAAAGTAATTTAAGGTATGTCGAAAAAAGCTCGATGCGAAAAAAATTAAGTAAAAAAATTTATTTTCTGGGAGAAATAAAAGAAGCGCCTTAATTCGACCAGTTTTGTCTATATTCCATTTGTTTATCCAAAATTTAAATTTTTTTATAAAAGTCTTCCTCATATTACACATAATTAACTGCATGTAAATGGGCATTTCTCTGACGTCATGATTTTTTTTTAAGACTTTATCGAGGCCCAACCGCCAAAATAACTTAAGCGACAGTTTTTTTCAAAATTTTCTTTTTGATGTACAAATATTCCTAGAGCATCTAGATGCACCTCTGCATCACAACGAAAATTTTGAAAAAAATGTTACTTACGTTACTTTGGCGGTTAGGGCTCCTTATAATTTCAAATATATGGTTAATTCCAAAGTGTATTTAAAAAAATTCAGTGCAATGTAAAATGAAAGTATGGGTACCAAATGAAATAATTTTTTTGGGTTCACAAGGATGAATAGGCATTGAAAATACCCCTTTAATCTATTTTATTTTTTTAAGCTAATAAAGTTAATCCTTAACATACAATTTTTTCAAAAAAAAATAAATAAAATAAAAATAAAAAAGAATAAATAAATAAAATAAAAAAATAAAATAAAATATGTAATGGGGTTTAACTGTACAGAATCTTCTCCTTCATTTGATACCCATAATGGGTTTTTTAAGTATATAACATTGCAATTTTTAAATTACTTATATCTTTCAAATTTCAAATTTCTTTAAAAAAATCCTCACGTCAGAGAGAAAAATTAAGAACGCAATTTTACTATATTTGGCCCTTGGTTTGACGAATATATTGATTTTTGTGTGCAAAATTGACTGTCGCAAGATATTATATATATATTATATGTATATTTGGGACATTTGATAAATAATCTAAATACTCAACGGATGGATGTGAGATCAGAATGCGTACGTATAAAATTATATTATTTATGATCAGATGAATTTCTTAAAGTTTCGTTTGTTAGCATTATCGTGTATTTGTAAGACCTTTTAAAATATAATTCAACCGCAGTATTACGACGTTGAGATTGTAAATATTATCCACTCGTAATTAATTAATATAGTATGATATTGTATATTAACTAAAATATAATAAAATTATGCGTTACATACTTGTTTGGCTTTGGGTTCCTGGAAAATAAAAATAAAACGGAAAAAAGATTAGGCTATGTATGGATATATGTAGGAAATTTGTAGGTATGCACTTATACTTAAGTAAGCAAAATTAAATATATAAACTATAATTGTATCTACATCTATCTACACATATCTTGCACGATTATTTAAAAAGGATTCCTCATACACCCGAACTCGAACGAAAACTTAGGGCCGGTTGTTCATTATCGACGTTTCCGACATCATGCATATAACAAGTAATCGATAAAACGGTCGTTGTATTTAACCGGATCTCCTACCTCCGATTTGTGCTAATCAGACATTGAACAAAAGGCCCTGACATACAAAATCCCAAAACAACAACCGAATTTTCTGATCGAAAAATATTGAATTTCAAGAGTTCTATACCATTTCTACGAAAAAGTAGTTTTCGCCATATAAAATACTTGAAAAATTTTGAGCGCTTTGAGCGACCTCTAAATATTTTTTGATCTCGAAATGAAAAAGGGGTATATTTTTTCGATATAGAACAATTTTTGAACCACCCTAACCTACATACCTATATGTATTATTGTGGGACCTATCGATTGCGATTGGTATCAACCGATAACCGATTAGTTATTGTTACCAAATCTTGTGTTGAAAGAAATATGTTTAGCTGACTCTTTTCTCACAGAAATAGCATTTTAATTTCTATCCCTCCTTACTAATTTATTATGTATTACATTTCTTTAATGTTATTTTATATATATCACACCAAAAAAGTTGCGGTTTCTCCGCCGGGATTACAAAATTTATTATATTTTAAAACGTCCACCAAAATATTTCGGAAAAATATTAAGATTTGAGCGAGCTGGACCGATTTGAAAATATCTCCAAAAGTTGAGTTTTTTATGAATAAAAATAGTTTCTTAAAGAACTTTTTTGAAAAAAGTCCCCTCAGATGACAAACCAGATTAGGCCTAAAAAATCGGCATAAAAACATTTAAAAAAAAACATTTCAACGGAATCGTAATAATGAGATTTTTGATGCTGTTTTTTTTTACTTTTTTCAAAGATTGATTAACGAAATACTTAAATAACTGGGCCAAAACTATTCTGATTTAGACCTGTGGGATCTCGGTAGAAAGGTATTTTCCCAATATTTTTATTTATGTGCAAAAAAAAAGTCATTCGTGTCCCAATTTTACTTTTTTTTCAAATTCCAACACATCTCAATTCAACTTTGAATGATGTTCGTTCATCCTATCTTTCTCTTTCATCTTTTGAATGAGCTTATTAGCAAAGAAATAAAAAGCAGGAGAAAATACCTTTCCAATTATATCTCTTAAGGCTAAATCGGAGTAGTTAGGTTCAGTTATTCAAGTTTTTTTTTAAACCAATCTTTAAAAAAAGTTAAAAAAACAGCATCAAAAATCTCATTATTACGATTCCGTTCAATTTTTTTTTTTTTTTTTTTAAATATTTTCATGTAAATTTTTTAAGCTTAAACCGATTTGTCATTTGAGGGGACTTTTTCGAAACAAAATTTTAGGAAACTATTTTTATTAATAAAAACTCCGTTTCTGGGGGTATTTTCAAATCGATTCAGCTCGCTTAAATCTTAATATTTTTCCGAAATATTTTGGTGGACGTTTTAAAATATAATAAATTTTGTAATCCCGGCGGAAATCTGCAACATTTTTTGGTGATGCGGTCTAATATATATACATATGTACATATATAAAATAACATTAAAGAAATGTAATAAATAATAAATTAGTAAGGAGGGATAGAAATTAAAATGCCATTTCTGTGAGAAAAGAGTCAGCTAAACATATTTCTTTCAACACAAGATTTGGTATGGGGAGTGATGCAGTATAATGTGCATACATATAGTGGTCCATAAAATAAAAGAATTGCGACATTTTGACTGGTTTTGTCATTTGTCTTTTGTTTATCATTTTTTTTTATATATGTTTTTTAATTCTATGTCGTGAGAGTCAGTTGCCGCTACAACCAGCTTTTGCAATCAACAACTATACCACCGCCCTTAATAACAAAAAAAAAATCATTAGCAACATTACACCTGAAAAAGCCTCAATTTGTGGCGAAGTTGTCGTATTGCAAGGAAGCGACTTGTCGGTTGGCTGCTGGTTTATTTGACTGCGTTTTTGTGATTTTTTCTTTGCCTCAGGAAATGCGGTAAAAAGAAATACTATGTACATACATATATACATACATAGATATGTAGATCGAAGAAAAAATCCTTAAGAAGCAGCTGAAGAATTCGTGAGGCATAACTAAAAAAATAAAATACACACATACATATCTGGAAACCAAGATGGACGGTATGTGGTATTAGTGTGATAACTCTATGTATCTATAAAAAATTTAAAAAGCCGGTAGAACCACCATGAAGAGCAAATGGAAGCAATTAAGTGCTGTAAAAAAAAAATAAAAGTGAAAAGGCGAAATTTGGAAAAAGTCACATAAAGAGTGAAATAATTTTGAGTGGAATGAGTGCTGATGGAAACAAGCAGGTTGTGCAAGTTGACAAATTTGTGGGGTGTATTATAAAAAAAATCTTAAAAATGTTATAGGAAGCTGGGACAAGAAAATTTTCTTCCCTTCCGAAGCTTGCAAGTGCTCTTGATATGGAATGCAACTGGCTTCGGATGTAATTCTTCAATCATGAGCAAAATAAGAATAATGTAATAGTGAAATTTAGTTCAGATTGTTTTCTTTTTATACTCGTAGCAGTGTTGCCAGATTCACAGAAGCTTACAGTTCCTTAAATTTCAGACATGAACGAATAAATTAAAATTTCTCTTGCGTGTTTTTTTTTGTTTTTGTAAGTATATATTTAAGATAAAAGGGGATGATGAAGAAACAGTGTTTCCTCATTTGAAACAAATAGTTTCAACTGTCTTCTGCATTCCAGTCGCCACAGTAAGTGTGGAAAGAATACTTTTTGCCATACCATTTTAAATAAAACTAGAAGTTCGAGCACTCTGTGGCAGTGTTGCTGTTGAGAATTTTCATAAAGTCGCAAAAAGGGGGTAATTGACTTGGTTTTCTAGTAAAAATTTGCTAGTGACTACGTAAATCTAAGATCCAAAGTAAAAATCAAATTTACGGGTTTTAAGAGTCTCTTCGCTCCTAGAACGTGCCGCTGTCGAATTAAAAAAGAAAATAGGGGGACAAGCTTTGCACGAAAAAGGGTTGCAAACATACACAGAAATCTAGTTGCTGCAAAAAGAAAAGTTTCATTTGCTTTAAAAGTTTTAAATGATGCATTTTTTCATACTTACATGAGGAAATATGTTTTAGAAGCATGGTTAAAAAAAACTCTGCAAAAGTTGCACATAATTTTGGAAAATTTAAATTTTCAAAAAGTCGGGTCAAAGGATATTGACGCCTAAAAAGGATCAAATTGCCCCTTTAGTCGCACCACGGTAATACTGTAGCTCGTTTCTGTAACAGTTCTCTACCAAGGCGAATTGAGATATGAATTTGTCGCCCTGTTCTCTAGTGCTAATGAGTAGTAGAGAATGACGTATATTCTCTACCAGTAGAGAAATAATCGATAGAGAAAAGTTACAGAAACGAGCTACTGATCTCTGTTATTTTAAAAACAAACGATTAATTTAAAAAATGCTTCAGGGAGTACTAAATTTTAGATATCGAATCAAATGATAAAAAAAATATAACAAAGCAAGTTACGAAAAATAATTAAACTGGATTTCATTAAAACAAAATGCGATTTAAGTTATCAATTGTAAGTAAGTAAAATTTGAACGGTTTATTTATTTTATTTTAATTAACATTTTTTTGTTATTTATCTATCACCCCTATTGCGAATGTCGACTGGCAGTAGATAAACGACTATTAAGCGATTATCGATTAACGATGCTATTGCGAGTGTCGCTTAGTCGCTCAATTAGCGACTGTGAATACTTTTTAATCGCTCATCCTTCTATTGCTGTTTTTCAGTCGTTGGAGTTTGCGTTTATAAAATTTACGTAAGAAAGTGGTACTATAATGCATAAAAAGTAAGTCAATTGAACTAGAAGTTGTAAAAAATTGTGAAATATGCATATGTATGTATGTGTCTGAATTACAGGTCAAAAATTGTAAGCAACAAAAGGCAAGTTGCGCGGTTGGTTGTTTTGATGCAGGGGAGTGAGGACATATGCAAAGGAATTTCCGGAAAGAGTAGGGGAGAAAGCTCCGCTTCTATTGTGAAAGATATACAATACTTCTTGTGCATATAACTCCGGCTACGCCATCCACAGTGTTTTTGCGCAGAATCAACAGCAAAGTTTAAAAAACTGCATAATTTTTAATTAACTAGTGCTCGGAAATTTGAAATCTTTATTTTAAATCAAAGTTTGATTCTTTCACTACACGTGTATGTTAAAGTTTTTAAAATCGGGTCACGCGTTTGGACACAAATACCCAACATCATTATACAAATAACTAAACCGCACCGTATTTCTTAAACTTCCATAAAGTTTATTAATGAGGAAAACAGCTTTTCCTGCAAATCCTGTAAAACCTAAAAACGTGAAGCATCGGGAATGCAACTTCTATTCATAAAATTTACATACATATGAACATACACTTCATCTTCCAACTCCAAGGGCTCCGACGAATCTCGCAATTCCCTCCTTGCTTTAGCCAACTCTACTAATCTATTAGCTTCCACATCAACTTCCTTCATCACTAAACCATATTTTAACTAAGTCCATTTTTTTTATTTTGTAATAAAAGCAATTACTTTAAAAATGATGTAAATGAACCACTAAAGAAACAAATGTAAACAAAGAAACAGCTGTTTACAATTCAGTCAGCCATTCACAATAGCGCAAATTTTTATCGATCAAGTTACACAATAGCAAAATAAAAGATGATCGACTCGATCGACAAATTTCTATTCTACTGCCAGTCGACACTCGCAATAGGGCCCTATATTTCACAGCATTGAAAATTCCATATTTTTTTCTTCTAATTTACAAACCCTTGTGGTCAGC